ACTGTAAATTACATAATGAAACATTTGGATGTTTTGTAAAGTAAAGAGACTCCATCTTAGAAAGACAGTGTGTAACACTTATAAAAATTTGGAATGTGTTATACAATATTAAATGACTTCTTTTATGACATATTATTTGTTACAGAAATATGGAATAAAGGTTCGTTCACTTATTAAATGGCATTATTTTTAATGATGAATTTTATGTATGTTACCATCGCATTTAAATTTATAGCATCCAAAATTGGAAATAAATGCAACAACGTCTTTACCAATGTGATTTGCCACTTGTTTGTGCACTGGTCGCAAGAGTCCGAATAGCCACGGTGGAATTAGCCATGTCTAGAACTAGGTCAAGAAGGAATCCTGGTCTACATAATTTAGCTAAGCCATAAAATCGTGATATTTTTTCTACTGAATATAAGAGAATAACAAGTAGTATCACAGATTACTCCACTTTTTCTACACTTCTGTCAGCGGGTTTTCCAGTCTCTTCCTAGCCTATTACTACTACCCACGCCTTTTCATCTAGCCTCTGTCTGTTTTCGACACAGAACTTTGCACATATGTGCGGCAGTTCAAATCGCCACACTCCATGTAGCACACAAAGCAAGAGAAGAAAGTAGGACAAATGCATAATAATAGACAGTAAACAGAGGTGTGAGACAAAGGTATAGTAATAACGAAGAACAAAACAGTTTCATTGGAAATCATGAGTCACAAGGAGTGGATGCATCTGCGCCAGCCATTGAGAACGATTTTGAGCCATGTCACCGATTGTTTCCAACCATTGGTTTTTACCGTCCCGAAGACCCCAACCAGTCAGGAAGTCTACACATTCCTACGTGACTGGCTTAGACTAACTGTTGTATATTTCATTGACTGGTGCCATGTTTTCGTTTGACCGCCACTAGCTCTTTTCCAGCCTGACCCTATATCAGCTAACATTGCCGGTCTGTTTAGGAAGGCGATGACCAGGCATACGTAACACATGTCCTAACCACCTCAGTGGATGTAATTTCACAGTCTCGTCGACTGATTTCCCGCGTAACCTAGTACTAGATGCCTAACCTCAGTATTGCTCACCTTATTATACCACTTCACACGGGAGATAGAACGCAGACACCTATGATCGAAGACAGCTAATCTTTTCATGTCTTCTGCTCTTAATGGCCAGGTCTCAGCCATAAAGGAGGACGGAGCGGACTGCTGAGCAGTACATACGCCCTTTGGTCGATAGTCGGATATCGCGTCTACGCCAGAGACGGCGTAAACTAGCATATGCGAAACTAGCCCTCTGTATTACAATCTGCACATTTAAGAGGAACCCAAATCAAGTATACCCATTCAGTTCCGTGGGTTAAGTCCTACTGTCATTCGTGAATACTATTTTATGACATAAAACTGATGTGGTAAATTAACAGGCATCTGATATACAATCATAACCCTATAGTGAGATAACCGCCTGATTGATTCACATAACTAAATTAGACGTTTTTCTCTCTTTGAACATTTCAGAATGAAGCAGTCAATATCGAATTATGATGATTTAACACAGTGTACATCATTCCAAAACGCCAAGAACTCTTATCCATGAACAAATAAATTCTATTTAACCAACTGATTTGATATTGTCTTTTTTATACAAGAAGTTACCTGTCAATATTATATGACTGCTGAATTTTTTTTGCCTTCACGTTCCCCAGTGGAACATAGGGCTTCAAGCTAGTGGCTTGAAGTTTCTGTAGCAGTATTTATTTTACAGGATGGGGTTGCTAGCCTAATGCCCAACCTTTCCTCTTCACCAGCATTATTTCTGGCTTAGTAAGGTAAAGGAGTGCGTTGGCCGCGGATCGAACCTCGGACCATGTGCATGGTCGGCGAGCGTCCTAACTGCTATGGCACCGACGCACAATGACTGCTGAATAGATCGGTTTATTCTTGATTATATTCGCTCCGAACGACTGCATGAATATTGGTTGCCTCCACTTACAGTTTTTTTGTCTGTTTAACTTGTGTTTAGCGGTAGAACTACAGACGTGCGCTTTATCCTAAGCTGGATACGAGGTAATACGTTTAACAAGTCCATTTGATGAAATATAGAGAAAAAAAATCCCCATTTAGACATTTAGAAAACAGAAAGATTGAGCAGCGAAGAAATATTTACTTTTCAATTAGATCCTCATCTCTGGCTCTACTCTAATATACATGTATAGCCTTTTTTATTACAATACACAACAGTTTACCAATCAAGTGGCACTGATATGTTTGTTAACAATAATTAGTCAGTGTCAACATGTCAATGGGGTGATAATTAACGAAGAAAATTAATACACACAATTAAAAGGTAGAAATGGTTACAGCACGTGGATTGTATAATGCATAATTTTGGAAAAATGAAGAGTAGTTAAGGAATAAGCATGTGCACAGGTTGATTACGTAACAGATTGTTAAAGAAAATAAAACGATTTGGACAATGATAACTTGTAACTAAGGATGAAGTGGTCATAAGAATAAAATAATTTTACAAGGATAACATGTAATTAAAGATGAAGTAGTCAGAAAAAAATAATAAAATAATTTGGACAATTATAATTTTTAAAGGTTTAGGGGGAGAGGGGCGAAGTAGTCCGGTTTATACATTCATGTAACGATGGCCAAGGTAAGGAAAGTGGCTGTACAAATTTCTTCTGAGCACACAGGTTTGGCTTCTTCAGGTGGATTCCTATTGCTTCAGTTGTATGCAGAAGACGAACTCGTAAAGCAAAATTAAGATTAGTAGGAATGCGATAGATAATTTTAAATGCTGTATTAACGTCAACCTTATGCTAACTATCTACAAGGTGTGCTAAAATAGAGCTACGAATAGATCTTGTTTGTCCCTTGCTTAACCATGCTGGATGATGTTCGGAAATACGATGATGAACCTGTATAATTGTACGCCCGATGTAGCTGGCTCCACAGCTGCAGTCAAACTGGTAGATACACATAGAGGAGGCAAATTTAGGTAGTTTGTCCTTATTTCTCGAAAGTAGAATAGGGGTGGTCGTGAAGAGACAAAAAACAAAAACGATAGATACGGCTTACTAAAATTTGTCTCTAAGAGAGAGTCGAAAATGTTCCATCTTCACCCTCTTCAAAGTACCATAGATAAAGGAAGTGTTCACTACCCCGGGGATAGCAGTTTCTTGTTACCATTAGTTGATAATTCTAATTACTCCGTATAAGGATAAAAATTTGTATTCCTACTGTAAAATATCAAACATCTCACCACCTGATTTAACCCAGAGTACATCAACTAACTTCGCTCCATTCCAAGCAAACTTTAAGCATCTAACCGTTGCTAGATTTCATTGTAATCTTTTGGAAAACAATTTGGTACAGTTGACAATGGGTATATTTGGTCCCCCTTTAGAACTGCCACGTATTCATAGCCTCTGCCATCAGATAAGGCCCATGAAGTCACCGCCTTCACAAAAGTAAAAGGGCAAATGAAAACATCAGGTACTTACAACCGAACTGGGGGATATGCTGATCAACTAACAACTTACAAGAGGTGCAGAAAACTATGGTGTACATGCGTTCCCAAATCCGAAAGGATCAAATGACGTATGGTCCTGTTTCGGTCACCAGTAACTATGCGAACGTAGCTCCTGATACTACTCCACTGCCTTGTGGGTAGAACTTCAAATTAAAGGCTCCAGGGTGGCCCCTCGAGACAACCACCTACTTTGATCTCGGTGCCCAGACTTAGTTAGAAAATAGTTGTTGAGAACAACTCGAGTGCAGCTAGCCGCGTGACTTGAACTCATCAGATACTACTCATGAAGTGAGCTAAATATTGACTTGTACTACCCCACTTGATAACTATTCATGATAGTGTTGTGTTGTGAAATGTATTTGGAAAGTGTGCTGTCAACATGGTCAATATAACCAGCTGCTCAACAACTGGTGCAAATGTCTTTATAGGCACACACACACTGGTCATAGTGTGATCGTTTCTTCAGCTAGTCAAGTTCATGTATCGCTTAAATGATAAGGAGATAAGATGATGAATGGCAGTCATTTATCATTATTGTCTAGGTTTTATTGAACAACTCGCTTACTCGACATCATCTTGATGATAACTGAATGGTGGCGTTAGGCTAAAACTTTTGCATAAAGTTGGTGAACAACTAAAAACATTTATAGTAATTCAAAAGATTAGAAGTTGATTACTGTTGACAACTTATGCTGGCTGGCTGGATTCAACACAGAACTTGGCACCGAAGTGCAGCAGTTCGAGTTGCCACGTTCCAAAGAGCACACAAACGTAGACAAGAAAATGAGTGAAGAGAATCAATAGAGTTTTGACAAGTACAAGAGTGAAACAGAATGAGTAATGGTAGAAAGGAATATGAAGGTTAAAGCGACTGAATACATCTGCGCCATTGACGACGATTTTGAGCCATGTCACCTATTGTCTCCAGCCACTGATTCTTAGAGTTCCGAGGGCCCCAACCTGGAAGTCTGCATCTCCCTACCTGACTCAGTTTAACTGTCAGGGATTTCATGGATTGATGCCATGTTTTTGTTTGGCCACCACTTACGACTTATAGCCTATAGGTGCTGAATTTAATCTCCGCTTATATTTTACAAAGTTTGTAATTAAATAATAGTTGTATTATTCATAATAACATTATAGACAAGGGATATCACACAAAAACTAATTAGGAATAAGGTTGGGGGTGGAGAAGATATCATACAATAGCGTATAAAATAATGTGTATAAAAAACTGCTATCTACAATGTTTTCATGATATATATACACACAGAGAGCAGTATTCAAGATATACTACAGTGAAACGAAGTAACGAAGAAAAAATAGCTGAAAGTCAGATCGATATTCTAGTACCAGTTTTAATAGTATTCACATTAGAGGATGGCATGGAATCTCGCTTTCCAGATGGTAGTTTACAACCAATCGTTGAATAAATTAATTCTAGACGCTTCGAAGCCACTTCATTGGCTTGTTCTGCACCGAATGTTAAACACTCAGTTACAATAGATTGACCATCTTCTGTATACATTAACTCATCAATACGTTTACGAATAGGATCAAATTCTTCAACGAGAGCATCTGTAACTCTTGACTTTAAATCTTCTTTACTCCATTGACTTGCAGTTGAAAGAATGTCATCAATTTGACGATCCTTTATAAATAAAAAAAGAAAAAGTAGTGGAGCTCCAAAGAAATTTTGTTTGTGCTTCATTCTACTACTGAATTAAGTTATATAAGTAAGCACACGCTTACTTTGAAAATAAAAGCAAAAAAGGCTTGAACATAAGTGGTTTTTTTGTGTAGGCCAGAAGAACATCAGCGTCATTTGTCGTGCTACTGTAACGATGTTGAGAGAGACCTTATTATTTTGAAATAACATTGAGATTGAAATAGGGATGTCTAGCTGGACACAACCGCGCTAATCACGAATACTGCTCGATTACGCCAACAATATTATACATCATTTACCTGTTCCCACCAGCCCCATCTACTTCGAGGAGAACATACAATGACGTGGAATGGAAAATAAATAGGTCAGTATTATTCCCTTCACAGAAGAAGACAATGGTATATATATGGCCAATAGTGTACGCGTAAGTGAAGACAACCATAAATGGATATCTACACCTGGCCAATCGCATACGGTTTATTTCCAAACTAATCCCGATCTCACCATATTACCATAAAAAGATAAACTATTGTCTATCTGTCAAGTATTGGTTTTGTAGGGATTACTATTTGATTGGTTGGAGGATTTCATCGTCCCTATAAAACCACTACTTGAAAACTGACCTGATGCACACTAGCGACCGGTCGTATTCGGGCAGTTAAGCAGGAGTTCTAGTGGGAAGCCATGACCAGTAGGGTACAGCGAGTTGAAGGTGAGGCAGTAACTCATAGAAGAAAACATTGCAAAGTGGTCATGCTATGTGATGAATTGGCAGAAGTTAGAATTCATGGGCTGGTCATTGGATAGGCGGGTCCCAGTGGCTTAATGGTCTACGAGCTTGCTTTGTAACCATATGGCCCTGGCTTCGAGCCCCTTGCGGTGGGTGCGTACTGCTGAAGAGTCCCAGACTAGGACGAATTATCTGTCCAGTACTCTTCGTTGGTTTCCCAATGGTTCTCTTACCAATGTCAGTCCATAATGAAATCCGCCAACCATTGTTTGTCTGCCTACATATTAACTATCAGCCTAATAACACTGGTTCCACATCCATGAAATTTCAATTGAAACAGTCCTGGCAGCGACACCAAATGTAACAACAGAAGACAAGGCTGGCAACAGATCAGTTTTATTACGAAAACCAACAGGTATTTATATGTATTTTACGTACATTAATAAGGCTTCTGCCCGCAGAAAGAAGGCGGTCTTCTGATTGGTTGTTTGCAAACAAACGCAGTCTTCTGCTTTCTCGTTTTCGATATTTTTCGGAAATGCGAGCCACTTGTCTGCGAATCATATTTGTCCACGTTTAGGTCAGCTGTGATTGGTTGTTGAATCAGCCTAGATTAATTTCTACCAATCAGCGTAGATCAATGTCTACCAATTGGCTAGCAGCTTGCTCTCACCACACTCGTCCCCCCGTCAAATAGCTTCGTACGCAGGCGTTCCGACCTTCTTGGTGCTACATCCTCTAGTTGAGGATTGTTGCTGATCGGCTTGTCCCACTGTACCCATCGTTGGAGCTGACTGGCATTAACTCGTTTCTGTTTGTCACCTCTTCGGACGGTATATACTTGACCCCGTCTTTTTGTGATTGTGTATGGTCCTTCCCACTTTGGCAGGAGTTTCCGTGAACCTGGCCCGCCTCCAACTGTATATCTCCTGTCTCTACACTTCACTTGGTCCCCGACTGCAAAGGTGATGCACCGCGTCTTTTCTTTCATCTGAGACTTCGCGACATCACTCCGCTGCTTCCGTATTACATTCTTGACGGCCTCTTTCCGCTCTGCTTTTAATTTCGTCGTACTCCACTTTTGGTGAAGGGGCCAGGTCTCGTTGTGTATCGGTAATCGTGGTTTTCTACCATACATCAGTTGAAAGGGTGACTTCTTCGTTGTTTCCTGAGTGGTAGCCCGATGCGTCAGTAAAATCAGTGGAAGCTCCGTTTCCCAGTTACCGCCCTTCGAGGCCAGCCACTCCTTCAGTGTACGGTTGTTTCTCTCCGTTAGGCCATTCGTCTGTGGATGATATGGGGTCGTTCTGATCCTCTTGATGCCCAGCTGTTGCAAACGGGAAGTAAATTCTTCACTCTCGAAACAGGGACCTTGGTCTGTCAGTATCGTCTTTGGTACGCCGTGGTCTGCAACGATGTGTTTAACTACTGCGTCTGTCACGGTCTTTGCACGTTGATCTGGGATCGCTACGGCGTCTACCCATCGTGTCGCGTGTTCCGTCATCACCAGGAGGTACTGATTACCATTAGATGTCTGAGGAAATGGACCCATGACATCTACGGACCACAAGTCACCTATCGCCGTAACTGGAATCGACTGAAGCGGTGGTCGTATGCACCGGTCGCCTTTCATTAGCTGGCACCGTGGACATCCAAGTACGTATCTTGCTACGTCTTCTCTCATACCTGGCCAGTACATGCTTTGTCTTAGGAGGTCAGTTGTTCTGGCCACGCCTGTATGTGCTAGCTGGTGACATTCTTCTATCATGTCGTGGCGCGAGGACTGAGGTATGATAGCCAGCCAGCTTCCGTCGTTCTCTCGCCAGGTCAGAGTCCCGTAGGCATTCACTCTTAGTCGATCTCTCTGTCTGAGTAGTGTGGTTAGCTCCTTACTCGCCGTAGCTTGATCTACTTCTATCCCGTTGGTTATCACCTGTATCACTGTATTCAGCGTATCATCCAACCTTTGCTTGCGTGCAAGTTTTAGTGGGTCTTGTTCTACAGCATGCACTCCGTAAGCGACCTCGGGCAACTCAGGCTCGTCTTCTGGTCTCGATAACAAATCTGCCAAGACATTTTCACTTCCAGGAACGTGTGAGATCGTAAAATCGTACTCCTGAAGACGCAACATCCACCGTGACAATTTCCCCCGTGGGTCTCTCGCTGTCTTCAAAAATTGTAGCGGCTTATGATCAGTTTCGATGTGGAACCGCCGGCCGAGTAAATAAGGTCGCCATTTGTCGACTGCCCATACCATTGCTAAACATTCTTTCTCTATCGTTGAATACTTTCTCTCTGTGAGTGTTAAAACCCGACTGGCATACTCAACGATTCCATCACCTTGTCTTAGGACCGCACCTATGGCGTAGTCACTGGCATCTGTGCACACTGTAAACTGTCTTCCAGGTACAGGTAGTTTTAGCGTCATTTGTTGGTGGTCGAACAGGTGTTTAATTCTGTCAAATGTCCTCTGCGATTCTTCCGACCAAACAAACTTCGGCTCACCTAGTAGCCTGTATAGAGGGGCTGCTATCTCATTGAAGTTCTTCACGAATCGACTATAAAACGCCGCTCTACCCAAGAATTGCCTCAATTTCCTCTTTGAATTCGGGGCTGGAATTGTTTTAATCGTCAAAATTTTCTCCGGTAGTGGTTTAATCTCACCATTTCCTACTTTATGTCCTAACAGAGTAACATTCTTTCTGGCTATCTGGGACTTGGTTTTGTTAATGCGCAGTCCAAACTCTTCGATGCGTCGCAGCACGGCTTCTACATGCTTCACATGATCGTTTTCGTTTTGACTGTATATCACGAGATCATCACCATACACTTCCACGTTTTTCAAGTTCCTAAGTAATAGCGTCATCAGTCTTCTGAAGGTAAACGGTGCACCTGCTAGTCCAAACGGCATGCGTTTAAATCGATATTGTGTCTGGCCCACGCTGAATGCCGTCTTATCTCTATCACCTGGTTTTATCGGTATCTGCCAGTACCCTGAGCGAAGATCGAAAACGGAAAACACATTCGCGCCTTGTAGGCGGTCTAAAGTTTCCACCACTGTTGGCATGGCACACGGTTTTAACTCTGTCATACTGTTTAATTGTCGAAAGTCAACACAGAATCTATACTTCCCATTCGCTTTCTTTACTAACAGCACTGGAGAGTTGTACGGGCTATCAGCTTCTTCAATAATATCGTCTTTTAACATCTCTTGCACTTGTCGCTTCACTTCGCCTTCCAGATGACATGGTATTCTTCGCGATGTAAATGACATTACTTTTGGATTAGTTAACGGAATTTCATGATTCACCTTGTCGCAATAACCGTATGGATCGCCATCTCCAGTGAACAGATGATCGTATTTCTTAATTAAATCTGTCATGTTGTATACCGTCGACAGGTTCACCGCTGCTATCTCGCTGGTCTCATACATTTTGATACGCCCGTATTTCGTGACCACCACTTTCGCTTGCGTGTCAATTATTGCACCAATCTCCCGCAGAAAATCCGCTCCTAATATCGTTCGCTGTAGTTCGGGCACAACAATGAAAGGAAACGTCACCTCGCACCCTCCAACAACAATCGTACAGTTCGACCTACCCGTTATACGCAACACATGCCCGCCTACTGTTTGTACTGTCAACGAACACGGACTAACGCTCTTACATAAATTCTTATCTATCAACGACACGGCCGCTCCTGTATCTACTAAGCATACTACTTCTCGATCATTTACTCGCAACTTCGAATACATAGCCCCTTTCTCAATCGCCCCCACTAAGTCTAGGTTCATACGAAAGAAAGAACAAGCATTATACCGTCTGAAATTTTTCCTTTTCTGTCTTTCTGGGCAGTCTCTTCTCCAGTGTCCTGGCTTGCCGCATTCAAAACATCGGTTTTTTCTATTACCCAACTTTAACGCCGCCACTTCCCGCTGCAATGCTTCAATTTGCTGCTCATATTCATTTGGTTTCGGCTGCTCTATAGCGGCTACAGTCGTGCTCAGCAGCTGTCTGGTCACCTTCGCTAGCTCACTAATATCCATCGGTTGCGTTGCGTTAACCAGTTTTAACTGCTGAGAAATGTGGTCTGGTACACTCTCGATGAATTGGGAAGATAGTAACTGCTCTTCTGATTCTTTATCCAACGTGGGAAGCGCCCGTCGAAGTAAATTCGTCAATTTCACCGCCAATACTAACGGGTCTCCATCAGGTCCCAGCCTCGTTGATCGGAACTGCTGCATCGCTAGCTG